TCGCCCTGCCGCTGCACCATGGAGGCGATCTGGATCACGGGGTCCGTGTCGGGCTCCGGGAAGATGCCTGCAGGGGGGCATGGCCAGCTGGTGAGGGGTCCAGGGGCTTATGGGGAGAGCCAGGGAGTTCTGGTCAGGCACTTACCTTTCCTCCCTGCACACTCGATGTCGAAGCTTAGTACACGCAGGGGGGCAATCCTCTGCCAGTCGCCCTCCGCCGCGTGGCTGATGAGTTCCGACCAGGCCACGTCCACCTCATACTGGCACAGGGACACCTAACGGAGGCACAGTCCACCATGTTACTGACCCTCCCTGCAGAGGGCACAGGGCAGCCCCCTACCTGGCACATACCTTGCTGGGCTGCCGGGGGTGTGTCTCCCCTGGGCCCCTTTCTTCTCTCAGATGGTACTTTCCTGCCGGAAGCTCCACCCAGGAACAGCCGACCATGTCACTGTCCACCATGAACCTGCGCAGAGGAAGTGAACAAATACCAGCATTTATATGATTCCTCACTACGGGATTGTAAAGGCTCCCACATTGCTGTTCCGAAAATTATAATGTCTGTAACTGCAACCCCATCTCTGTCCTTGCATACTGCAGGTACATCATACACGGTTAGGTTAAATTAATACTTATTTTTAATAAAACATCCACACCACACTTCATAAACTTGACATAAACAGCGCCACCCTAGGCTGGCTGTCGAAGTATGCGGCTGTCTGGTGCATTGGTGTAAGAAGCATGAACAGGCAGGAACAGACAAGGGGCAGCAGAGGGCATGGGGGCACGCCTTTGTCTACAACCCTTAACCGTCCAGTGGGAGCCGCTGACTGCACCTGATCTCGAAGTCGATGTTGGCCTCATATGAGGGGTAGTTCTGCATGGGAAAGGACCCGAACTTAAAGCCTTGCTCCAGCAGCCTTTTGGCGGGGGCAATGAGACGGGGTGTCGCCATAGTGATGCGCAGGAAGTCCATGGGCCGGTTTCCATGGAATCCATACATGCCTGGCGAAAATTAGGGTTTGGTATTACACGGGCAGGGTGCGGTTGGGCAGGACAGGGACAGGGGCAGGGACAGGGACAGGGGCAGGGGCAGGGGCAGGGGCAGGGACAGGGGCAGGGTGCTCACTTTCTCGCCGAGTGATGTCCACAGCCAGCACAGTGACGGACAGGTTATCCTTATTCGATCGCATGTCCTTCAGGACGACCGCATTCAGCTCCTTCTTAAAGTCACTCAGGTGGTCGCTGCAGAAACCTGGGTGAGCAAGGAGACACTGTTCATGCGACTAATAGGAAGGAACCACAGTGTACAGTGGACTGAGCGGCCGGAGGGGGGTGACTTACCAGCGGGTGCCGGGACGTAGAAGTAGGGAGCGAAGCCGTGCACGTGGCAGCACACGGAGTTCCCGCAGTCTGTCACGCCAAACATGCGGATGATGGGCACGCTTCCCTGGGACTGGCCTGGCATCCCCGCTACTGGCGAGCCTTTCGGGACACACTAAACATGTTAGCGCATGACCCAAGCCCTGTCAATGTGCTCCTCCCCCCAACCAAGATCCTCACCTAGATAGTAATCCAGCTCGATCTGCTGAAACACCAGCCCGTCAGTGCCAGGATCGAGGGGCAAGGCCGAGGGCCGTGCCCAGCGAGGATTGATATCCGTGGAAAAGAGGTCACCTGCCAGGGATTAGTAAAGGAATCACATCGGAGACTAGCGACGCCATGCACAGGACAGAAGGCCCTCCATTCCAGGAAGCTCACCAACGGGAATTACGTCATGCCCAGCCTGCCCCTCTCTGCAGTCCCCCTCCATCTCTACTTCGTCCAGCATGGCGAGCTCCTCTTCAAAGATGGAGGGGCCATCGTCCCATTCACCCCCTACTTTGCTCTTCTTTGCCTGAGAAGCTCCTCCCATCACTGGTCCACCATTCCTCCGTTTTGCATCCATGGCCCAGTCCTGACACCAGGCAAGATAAAAGACAGTTTAGAGATGGCTGAGGCTCACCCCCACTCCCAGCTTGCTAACCGGTGCAATATTATTGCAGAATTTCCTCATAAAACTGACAGATCCGACCATCACCTGGCCGACCCCCAGCTCCCTATAAACACCCACAATGCATAACGTCCACCTGCCCGGTGGGCATATGCATCCTGCAACTAGGGTGACCATCGGCATGTACTCTAAAAAGGATAATGTCCAAAAAGGAGGACACCCATGCAAAATGAAAAGCTGTTGTGTTGGTGGGACAGAACACAATAACACCAATCAATAAAACTATTTAAGACAATGTTCAGTTATTCACTTAATCCACTGGTACAATCCAACACTCTTAAAGGATTAAGTCTGATACACTAAAGTTTGTCAGGTACTATATATACTATAGGTACTATATATGTAACCTATACAACTGTGGACCCAACATAGACCAGCTATCCCAACTTCGGCATTTTAAAGTTATTAGATGAAAAATCCTAAGACTTGAGCCGTATGCGCCATAACGCTGTGAAGTATGTGTATGGAAGCCGAGAACAGCAGTGCTTGCAATTATTTTTATGGCATTATCTAGAGAACATTTTTGTGCTACGAAGGGTGGGGGAAACATCCGACAGCAGTTTAGACAAAGAGCAGGAAAATAGGACTGTCATGACGAAATCCGAACTAGTACCATGCCTGCAACTCGAGATTTAATTACTCCAAATTCAAGATTTTAAAACAATTTCCTGTTCCGTGAGCAATGTTTACCAACTGATTAAGGCGCATCTAAAAGTTGCATACAACAATAACATAACAATTAGCTGTGATGCGCCCGAGAGGATCCGCACATTTAAAAAGTGGTTTCAAAATAAACGTGAAGTGCAACACATTTCCAAGGAAACGGCGCTACACAGAGTACGTTTATTAATCTTTAGCATTATCCACCCAAACACTAGAAACACAATACACCATACCTGTCCACATAACACATAAACCGAATATAAGAATATGCACTCGAACGTCTGTGACTGTTTACCTTTATAAAACACACCCCAACTTCCTCCTCGATTAAGCTTACAGAAACTCCCGCCAAATGACCATCTGAAGTCGTCCCCCGCCCACTGAAACATTAGCTCTGAAATGCTTCCGGTTTCCCGGCAAACCAGGTTGCCCACCGCGACCTTTGATTGGCCGAAGGATACAGAAAGCCATACCCGGATGTGAACACCCAACAACACCATCTTTGTAGGGCTGTGTGAGTGTGTGGCGACGGAGACGTTTATTCTAGACTGACACTAAGTGTACTCATGGAATCTTCTCCTTCTGCAACATCGAAAATACCAAAAAGGCCACCTATGTAAAATCTAAATTACTACAATTTTGTGCATGTTTAAACACCCTATTCTGTGTGTTCCCCAGCCTTGTGTCCTGTGCTGCCTGCGGTGAATGCATGCATATATGCATGTATAAAAAGGTTTATTTTCAAATGACATCTGATGTCTATTTTTGTGCATCACATTCATTAATAAGAAGGAACAAGTATTATGGTTTTATTGTGGTTTTTAAATGTGATTTGGTAGGAAATATCTGCATGGCAGTATCAGATGGTCAGGATGATTGCAACAATACTGTTAAAGTTTGCAGACAATTTATCTGCGGTGGGCTTAAATGCCAAAAACAAGGAGCAGGCTTACCTGGAGGAGGAGATGACACTCTCACTATGGTACCAGGAGAACAGCTTAATGTAAACAAGACATAGGAGTTGATTGTGGACTTTGGGGGGAGACGGCAGAGGGATTAACACTGCATCAGTTTAAATAGTGCTTTGGTGGAGAAGGGGGCAGCTTCAGGAACCTCAGTGTTCACATAGCTGATGGCCTGCCCTGTACCCTGCACATGGATTCCTTAGTGAGGGCGACTCACTAATGCCTGTACCATCATAGGCGTCCCAGGGACTTCAGGCTGTCCTTTCCAATACCAAAGAACTTCTACAGAGCCACTATCAAAAGCATCATAACAGGGAGCATCACCGCCTGGTTTAGAAGCAGCAGAGAAAGCCTGCAAGGCAAATGTGACCACTGCCTAAATGCCAAGGTGGATAAGCGGAGGAAGACCTTCTTTCTATAGGCAATTTAATTGGATCCATAATACCTGCACACCAACGTTCCTGCCTACTTACACATGTATATATCTAATACTTATTTCTGGACTCCTGCACTACTTGCCACTTTACTACAGACTGACAATTGCACACTATGGATATTTAAGTTTATTGTCATATCTTACATACTTGTGTCCCCTTTATATTTATGTCCCTGTTACGTTTTTCCCCTGTTCGCAATCTGGAGCTCGGTGATAACGCATTTCACTGCACACTGTACAAAGTATAACTGTGCATGTGATAAATATAATAATTTTGAAAGTCTGAACACCGTAATTAGATAAACAGCGTTGTTACAAGGAACAATAATATAAGGTAATGGAGCGTAGTCAAGCAGTATTTTCTTCTGTCCCGTTCCCGGTGTTATGCCGAAAAAGGCATCCCTGCCGTAGAATGCATGCCTGCCTCTAAATGACCGATTGGTCGCTGATCTGAAACGAGTTGAGCTACTTTGTCGAGTTAGGCTACCGTAGTGCTAATCGATAGCCCTAACCCTAACCCCCAAAAAACCCCTAAAACCCTAACCCCCCCCAAAAAAACCCTAAAAGCTCAACTCGTCAGAACACCGGCATGCATTCTACGGCAGGGATGCCTTTTTAGGCATAACTCCTGCCTCCAACAGTTATTAAAACTTATTTATATCTTGTATCTTCCTCGCTATTATATCAAATTCCGTCTTTTGGATAAACAGGGGTGTCCGCCAATCCAGCGTCACTCTCTCTAATGTCTTTAAACCAATCACATTTGTTATGCTGGAAATTTGGAGGCGGGTCTACCATCGGGTTTCCAATCCGGGAACGATCTAACTTTAATCGTCCCCCGCCCCCTCGCCCAGTGCTATTCGTGCGCTGTCCGTTAAACAACCACCCACATATTATGACCAATCGGAGCCGAAAGCGGCGCGTTTTGTCTCCTCCCCCCCCATGACCGCCCCCAGTTTCTTTGAGTGACAGATGCCAGCGTTGCGATTGCACGGGACGTTCGGACAGTGACAGGACTGCCGAAGGTCAGTGTCGAGCTTATGTGATTCTTTATGATTTTAATACGATATATTAAAATCTGCGATATCTTATCAATGGGAAGTGTTGCAAGCAGCGAGGCAGGAGTCAAAGTAGTAATGCCGCTGCTGGAGTCGATAATGTGACGGTTAGTTTTTGCGTAAAATGCCGGAATGGAAGGAGGCGTGATCGGTTGGTGCTGAGTGTGTAACGGTAATAGACCCGGCGGCAACCCGCCTCCTCTGCACGTCCGCAGCGCGTCTCAGGCAGGGCTGCTTGCGAGCCAATTTACCGTGAAACTAAGCGAAATCTTTTTAAGTTCACCGTATGTCACTTATGCGGTGTTTTTTTTTAAAAGAAAGTTGCGAAATAGGAGATACTGAAATGGCAATGACTTAGTCTTGGCAGCCCTGGGTACGTCCGCGCTGTGTGGAGACGCCCGGCCGCTGAGTTTTCTTGCCTCTCTGTTGTAGGAGAGAGAAACAGGTGTCAGGACGGGAGGACAGTGATACCCCCACCTTACCGACAGTAGTGCTGTATCTGTATGTGGGCGCTGTCTTACGGTCCTAAATAAAAATGCCGCGGGAGATGCGTGCGTGACAAACGTGCTCGTTCTCAAACTTCATAATCACGCTGTGTATGCACGTGACCGCTTCCTGTGATGTCCATTTAGATTTACTTTATTTAGTACACATTGACGTAAATAGTACGCTATGTTCTACTCACTAGGTCTGCTGTGCTTCTTGTCAGTGTTATATTTTTTATGAAATGTCAGTTTAGCCTGTTGTGTAGGTATTTTAATATGTAACCCTTGTATAGGGGGCACATATAATGTAGCACTACATTCTTATTTAACGTATTAATTAACCAAAAAAATGTTAGTTGCCTACTAATGTCATGTTTGTTCATCATTAATCAATCATAACAGTTGATATAGTTCATGCAGTTACCATATTTGTATATGATTTGTACTTGAGTAGTATCTGAGTTACTGCATTACTTGTGCCTCTTCAAGTAAAGTGTTACCCTATGTCCTGTACACTGCTTGTTTGGTTGTGACCTTCAGTTTTCTTATTTTATTTTTGTTTTACTGTGCTACTCTCTTTTCAAGGGGCTTTTTATCCTCCAGTCTTATAGCCACATATCCTGGTCAGGGTCTTGGGGGGGGGGGGTTGCTTTATGCTTACTTTTTATAAGGTACTTTTCTGAGAAATCGCGTTGTGTGGCTGGTTTGTCAAGAATGCTTAAAGCCACACACTGTTTTATTAATAGTATGGATTACCTGTGTCTATGCTGGGAGGAGATCCACGAGGACAGGTGGCTATGCTTGTCCTTTGCTGTGAATGGTTAGGGTTAGGGGTCTGGCTGACTGACTGTGTGTTTTCAGGGTTATTTATTTGGTGGCCAGCATCCTGACAGCATCTTCCTAGCTGCAGGCAGCATGCCCCTGGCTCGCAGCCTCTCCGTCACCTCCCTCTCTGGGCTGGACGACTGGGATGAGGAGTTTGACCATGAGAATGCGGTGCTTTTCGAGATCGCCTGGGAGGTGGCCAACAAAGGTTCCTTGCTTGTGTCAGATGGTGCATTTGTGTGTTGCTGGTGCTCAGGATGCTCACACTGACAAACGGCTGCTTCTCATTCAGTGGGTGGCATCTACACCGTGATCCAGACCAAGGCCCGCCTGACAGCAGAAGAATGGGGGGAAAACTACTTCCTGGTTGGACCCTACATGGAGAGCAATGTCAGAACCCAGGTGGAGCTGATTGAGCCAACCAACCCAGCTCTAAAGAAGACCATCGATAAGATGAACACCAGTGGGTGTAAGGTACAGTCAGTGTGCACCCAATCCTCCATACTGTCACGGTCTGAGACAGCTTAGCTGTACTGCAACACATGTAGCCATACAGATTGAAACATATCCAGTTCTTCTTGCTCAGCTGCGATGGTGACATCCCTCCCGGAGCTGAACACCTTGGTTTCTATCCTTAACCTGTGTGTCTGATAACTGACACCCTGATGGTGGAATTCTGTCTGTGGCCTTTCCTGATCCGCTGTCTCTACCCTGAACTAGGCCTCTGTTTTGAGAGGACCCCACTGGAATGCGTGTTTAAAGGTTACAGGCTGTATCGGTGTCTCACACAGGCCACAGCTCGTACCGTGCTCTATTTTAAGGGGCTTCCTGAGATTGACTCGCACAAGGGGCTACAGTAAGTCTGTCAGCTGCTGCGTTCTGCTGCCTTGGTGGGACAACAAAAAAGAGTGAAGGAGCCTGGGGTCAAACGGAGGAGGCCTGGGCCAACCTGGGGTCAAATGGAGGAGGCTACAGCCAGCCAGGGTCAAATACCAGAGGCTGGGGTGAAATGGCAAAGGCCAGGGCCTGCCAAGGTCAAACAGTGGAGGTCAGGGCCAGCTGGGGTCAAACAGAGGAAATTAGGGGTGCTTCTCAATATATATACTTGACTGTACTTGTGTTCTTGTGTACCTGTTTCACGTCATCTTCCACTGGCAAGGACCAGTTCTAATATTAAGAGCAGAAGAAAAGAGGATGGTAAAAATCCCCGGATGTTGTTCTTGCCTCGCACCAAATATCAAAGATACATAAGTTGCATCCTAGTTAAACAAAACAAATCCCATAATTCATTGCACCCCAAGTTTGGTCTTGGGAGGCAAGCCAGTAAAACCGGTCTTGCCAAGACCACAAGTACGATCTTCATGTTCTTGGTATTGAGAAACAACACTGGGCCAGCTGGGGTCAAACGGAGGAGGGCGAGGTCTAATTGCTTAGTCATGAGATGATTTGTGTTTCAGACTGATGGCTCACGATGGCAGTGTAAATCTGCAAGCCAGGTGACCATCTGAGCTGGAGCCTTCGTGGTTCTACAGAGCTCTCAGGAACCACATCATGTTTTCACAGGTGTACTTCGGACGCTGGCTGATCGAGGGCGGTCCGTATGTCGTGTTGATTGATGTGGGCTTCACCGCTTGGTCACTGGACCGCTGGAAAAGTGAGCTCTGGGAAAGCTGCAGCATCGCCGTGCCGTGGTTCGACCGTGAGGCCAACGACGCCGTGCTCTTTGGCTTTCTCACTGCCTGGCTGCTGGGAGAGGTAAATGTGCTTATGGCTCTGGTCACGTTCACCATACCGCCGTCCTTTCCGTTAATGTTATACACCGGACCGCCGTCCTTTTGGCTAACATTATACACCGGACCGCCGTCCTTTTGGCTAACGTTATACACCGGACCGCCGTCCTTTTGGCTAACGTTATACACAGGACCACCATCCCGTTTGTTCAGAAGCGTGCAAGGGACAGTAAGCCTGTAGTTTAAGAGTGAGTCTGTGTTTGTGCCCCCAGTTTGCAGCCCAGTGTGAGGAGTCCTCACACGTTGTGGCCCATTTCCATGAGTGGCTAGCTGGCCTGGGACTGGTGCTGTGCCGGCATAGGCAGTTGCCTGTGGCCACCATATTCACCACCCACGCAACCCTGCTGGGCCGCTACCTGTGTGCCGGGAACGTGGACTTCTACAACAACCTCAGTGAGGTTTGTTACTCTGTTACGTGTTGGACTTTCACAGCTACGTAAGCATCAGAGCTGCAACTGTGGTCATGTGACATGAGGATTTGGGGGGGGGGGGTTGTGGTTTATTACAGGGGCAGGGTAGAGGGGAGGGATGGGTGGGGGAATGGAAATGGGAGAGAGAGAGCAGTCACCTGACCTTATCTCCTGCCACACCTGCTTCCTAAACACGCTCTGCTCCTCTCATAGTTTAACGTGGATAAGGAGGCTGGAGACAGGCAGATATACCACCGATACTGTCTAGAGAGAGCCGCGGCCTGCTGTGCCCACATCTTTACCACCGTGTCCCAGATCACAGCCATTGAGGCTGAGTTCCTGCTCAGGAGGAAGCCGGGTGAGACACAGGGCTGCAGGCAGGAGGCAGGAGGGAGGGCAGCCGCGGCAGGTGCTGACTACTCATTTTCACACAGACATCATCACTCCAAACGGCCTCAACGTAAAGAAGTTCTCTGCCATGCACGAGTTCCAGAACCTGCATGCCCAGAGCAAGGCCCGTATTCAGGAGTTCATCCGTGGACATTTCTATGGGTAGGCGGAGCTGCCGTTACCAGGGCAACTGACCAATAACACCTTTCTGTTAACATGGTCTTTTGATAATGTTGCTTAACTGCCATAGGACAAGTGAAATTACCAGATCTGCTGCAAGTAGTCTTATCACCACCAGGGGGTGCTGTGTGCCACTTTTGTATGGTGTCCTGTGAGTTATGCCAGTGTGTAACTGTGTTCATGTTCTCAGGCACCTGGATTTTAATCTAGATAAGTGTCTGTTCCTCTTCATTGCTGGGAGGTACGAGTTCTCCAATAAGGGAGCTGATATTTTCCTGGAGTCTCTGGCTCGGCTTAATTACCTGCTCAGGGTGAGTGCTACGTCTGTCTGTCAGTGCATATTGGTGTGTATCACTGCTCAAAGTGAGTGCTATGTGTCTTTTTACACACACACACACACACGCACACACACACACACACACACACACACACAGGTCTCCATTCATTTCTATGGGGAAAATCACAACACATCACATCTAATCACAACATGATGACCTTAATCCCTACCCAGCCCTAACCTTAACCATAAGTAACCAAACTAAATACGAGACTCATTTAATTGCATTCACATACCTTTGTGGGGACCTGAAAAATGGTCCCCACCAGAGCATGTGAGCGGAGTGGAGCGGGCGGAATTTGGTCAGAGCGTGGAACGGTTTTTTAGTTTAGGCTGGAGCGGTCGCTCTGTCTGGCTCCAATTTCGCTCCGATACCGCTCACACTACGACTCTGAGGTGTGCCCAAATCTACCCAGAATTCATCTGTACAATTATCAAGACTGTTAGACAAATTGGCCGAGATGGAATTAATTAGTGTGAATTAGAGCGGAGGAGCGGGCGGAGCCAACAGCCTCGTGAGCGAGGAGCGGAAATTCTCAACGCTCCACTCCGCTCACATGCTCTGGTCCCCACATTTGGTCCCCAGAAGGTAAGGTAAGGTACATGTGGAGCACGCACACACACACACATACATATGTAGGGTAAACATATCCTTATGGGGACCGCTCATTCATTTCAATGGGAAAAATGCTAACGCTAACTATGACAACCTTAACCCCCACCCTGCCCTAACCATAACCATAAGTAACCAAACAAAATACAAGAGTTTTTGCATTTTTAGTTTTTTCATAGCAGTCACCCATTTTTTATAAAATAGAGTTTTCCCTTCTGGGGACGTTATGGGGACATTGTGTCTCCATAAGGGTAGGTATACCCGCTCACACACACACACACACACACACACACACACACACAGAGATTGGTCTACCCCTATCCCCCATACAGATACTGAAGGTAACATGCCACAGTAAAGCTGTTATTATGGTGTTTCATTAGGTGTGAACATGCGGCTTTTAAGGACACAGATTTAACTGTTGTAAAGGCTGTAATATTAAACAATGTGTCAATTCAAAAGTGGCTTTATATGAATTTTAAATAAAATATAAATAAAACCAAAATTTAGTCCCATACAAAACACTTGCCTTCGATGGGTTGATGCTCTGTCCGGGGGCTATTCCCTGCCTTTTGCCTGGGATAGGCTCTGGACCCCCGCCCCCCCACCCCATGACCCTGCATAAAACAAACAGGTGTGGAAAATGTCCCCTGTCTTCCTGACCTGTCTACCCCCTACGTGTGTTGTATATGTATGGTCGGGTTGATGGCCAATATTTCGCTGGTACTTGTGACTAGTGACAAGGTGTATTGCAACAGCAATAAAGGGTTTTATCAATCAATCAATCAATCAAATGGGTGGGGGGATGAAAGATTAATTTAAATTTTATTAGGGCCTCATTTTCGTCAATGAAAAATCACCTTTGATGAAGAATTAAATTAACACTGGTGTGCACCTCTGTGCAGCACATTCATATACACATATTCAGATGTATTTAATAAAATGTAACGAGAAATAATGGTTGTAATGTATCCCCTGGTCAGCAGACCTGTGCTACTGCTGGACCCTTGAGGAAGCCTCTTAAGCCCAGCTGCTCCAGCTAGCTGACCCTGTGCTGTAACTCCAAGCTTGCTCTCACCTCTATGTGTCTGTGTGTCTCATGGAGAACAAGATTTATGAGGCGAAAGACAGTGTCCATATAGGGATGAATATAGAGTCACTAATCCTGTCTGTAGTGTAATGCTCTGACTCTTCCAGGTCAACCATAGTGAAGTGACTGTAGTGGCATTTTTCATCATGCCTGCCAGGACGAATAACTTCAACGTGGAAACTCTGAAGGGTCAGGCGGTCCGGAAGCAACTGTGGTGAGCTTTTCGGTGCTGTGGTTAGACTGGAGATTGTTGCCACAAAGCACCATGCCTTGTATTGATGCTCCCCTCTTTTCTGGTGACAGGGACACAGCTCACACTGTCAAAGAGAAGTTTGGGAAGAAGCTGTATGAGTCTCTGCTGGTGTGAGTGTTGTACAGTTACCAGTGCTTGTTTGCCAGCGTACCTTCTGCCCCCATCCTTCACTGTCTGGTGGCGTGTCCTGTGCCATTGTCCCTCTGTCTAGCAGCGTATCCTGTGCCATTGTCCCTCTCTGTGTGCTGGCGTGTCCTGAGCTCAATCCACACATTCATTACTTTCCCACTGCCACCTGCAGGGGCCAGTTGCCAGATGTATCAAAGATGCTGGACAAGGAGGATTTCACCATGATGAAGCGAGCCATCTTCAGCACACAGCGGCATAGCCAGCCACCAATCTGCACCCACAACATGCTGGATGATAGCTCAGACCCCATTCTGACCAGCATTCGCAGGATTGGCCTCTTCAACAGCTCCTCTGACCGGGTCAAGGTACACACAGGGCCAAAGGATCGCAGCAGTATTTCTGCTCCTCTCAGGGGAACTCTCACCTAAAGTCCATCTGAAACTGCATCCTATCCTCCTAGGTGATTTTCCACCCGGAATTCCTTTCTTCAACCTCTCCATTGTTGCCCATGGATTACGAGGAGTTTGTAAGGGGGTGTCACCTAGGTGTGTTCCCCTCTTACTATGAGCCCTGGGGCTACACACCAGGTATGTGGGTGTGTGTGTATGTGGTTACAGGTGGGGGGAGACTCTGATGCAGTCATATTTACCCCCCACGTTGTGTCCTCCTCTCGCTTAGCGGAATGCACAGTGATGGGGATCCCCTCTGTCTCCACCAACCTCTCTGGTTTTGGCTGTTTCATGGAGGAGCACATCGCTGATCCGTCCGCTTATGGTACGCTCCTGCCCTCCTGTTCACTATCCAATCTGCCCTCCTGTTCACTATCCAATCTGTCCTCCTGTCTGTCTGTGTCCTCTAACTCTAAAAATCTCACCACCCCAGGAATCTACATCCTAGACCGGCGGTTCCGCAGTGTGGATGAATCCTGTAACCAGCTGACCTCCTTTCTGTACCAGTTCTGCCAGCAAAGCCGGCGGCAGAGAATCATCCAGAGGAACCGCACAGAACGTCTGAGTGACCTGCTAGATTGGAGATACCTGGGCCGGGTGAGGGGGACGGGGGCGGTTCCTAGGCGTTTTGTGATTGGTGCATTGGTCTGACTGTCACCATGTGTCCCTCTGTGATTGGTGCATTGATCTGACTGTCTCCATGTGTCCCTCTCAGTACTACGTCATGGCTCGGCACATGGCCTTAGCCAAGGCTTTTCCAGACACCTACTGCTATGAGCCCCAGGATGCCACTTCTGTAAGTCTGTCTGTGGTTCTCGTCATTCAGTGTGGAGCTCAAGTCATTCTTGTGAGCTCTCAATGAGCTCCTGTTCCTGTATGCTGTGTTTGTGAAATGCCCCCCCCCCCCATTACCATGTGTCTATCTCTCAACTGCCCAACAGACCCAAGGCTTCCGCTACCCCAGGCCAGCTTCGGTGCCCCCCTCCCCTGCCCTGTCCCGTCACTCTTCCCCCCACCACAGCGAGGCGGAGGATGACGAGGAGGAGGAGCGGTACGACGAGGACCTCGAGGCTGAAAAAGACCGTCGCAACATCCGCCACCCACTATCTTTGTCCTTCCGGAACAAGAGCTCTCTACCATACCCACTGCTCAATGGCAATGGAAGTCTCGCCCCGTCTTCACTGAGCTCTGCCCAATCTCCAGCGAGCTCCACGCACTCCCCCCCTAGTTCTGTCACCTCACCCCTGAGCTCTATTTCTAGTGAGAAGAACTGATTTTGCACCCGTGCATGCACCCCCACAAACACTCCCTGTCTTCCACACATAAACACATGATGCATATGACTGAAAGAACCAGACACACACCAGACAGACTTCATATATATGAAGACGTGGTACAATAGAGGAAATCTGCAGTACGGGAGGTGGAGGTGCAGCTGGGTTCACCTTCTGCGGGGGAAACGCACCCCTGCCCACAAAGCCAGTGCAGAACCTCTATTCTTTTACTTAAAGAGCTCCATAGTCAGTTACGTTTGCTGCTGCCCCAGTAGTGCGCCCCGCCGTCCCCACAACCCGAGACATGACATGGCGCCAAATGGCATGCCGGTCTGAGTATTGTATGCATGTTAGCAAGATTACCTCATATTCCAGGATGTTTCAGACGAGATGTAGTATAAAATGGGTGGATTGATGTCAGTGAGCATTGTTATACATACGGTTTTACCAATTTGCACTTCTCAGTCAGACGATCTGCACTTGTCAGTCAGTGGGGATTTGTTTGTCATGAACACTTTCTGTGCTAGTGTTGTGTTATGACTCTCTTTTTCGTTAGATAACCACCGACTCCTTGTTACTGTTGCCTCGATGACTGAAAAACACTACAAAATGATCAAATAAGTTGTTTTATTAAGATACACTGTGACAGACAAATTCTTCCTGAAACAAATGTCATGCAGCTTCTTCAAAACTCCATTTGTATGCGAGGCCTAATTTCAGAAAGCGTGGTTCACAGCCAGCGGCTCCAGCTCGCTCAGCACAGGCAGACTCCGGCTCTCTGGCCTTTACATGCTGCAGTGTGGAGAGGAGATGCAGGTTGGCACACAGATGGCCCTGCCCCTGACGGATGGCCCTGCCCCTGACGGATGGCCCCGCCCCTGACGGATGGCCCCGCCCCTGACGGATGGCCCCGCCCCTGACGGATGGCCCCGCCCCTGACAAACTTCCTTCATCATTACCCACCCAGCAAGCTGCTCCAGAAGGATGCGTAGGTGGCACTCCCCGTCACTGCCCCCAGCTGGGCGGGGTTACGCCGCACAGAGGTCACAGAGAAGCCGTTGGCGCCCGTCACCTCGACTTCCACTATGTGGTACTCCTTCAGCCTGGGGGACAGGATGGAGAACAAGCTCGGCTCAGAGCGGGCCGCAGAGGTGGAGAGTGACCCCCCATGCCCCCCATACCAGGAAGTGAGCATGCAAGAGGAACTCGGCCCCAAAGTCCTTCACAACTTGTGGGTGGCACACCTCCACGATCAAGTCTGCATTCCTAAGACCCAAAGCACACACAGCCCTGTAGGTACTGCAACACCCTCCACGTGCCCTTTCTCCCACTACCTCCACTGCACTTTTCAGGGAAGTAGGACAGTTGATCTAGGATCAGTTCCTCAGGAACAGAGGCTCTTAGCTTCTGAGGGTTTCTGTTCCACACAAAGACCAGACCCAAGCTGTGACCCTCCTTCTGGATCCTTTCCACTAGGTACTGTCCTGGGAGCAGGAGACAGCTGTTCACCACAAGAACCGCCAGAGGGAAAAGCCTGAGAGCTGCTTCGAATGTGCCCTTAAAGTTCCAAAGGGAAGGTACACTTATGAGACACCAACCTAAGTGGCCATATCCCACAACTCCAACAGCCATCACTCTTAAGGTGTCAGCTGTCAAGTCTGTGAAGAGACACAAATACAGACACGAGCACATGTTTTGTTTATCGGTGGACGCATGATAAATAAAAATGACCCGACTGCAGTGTGGTGTGTTGGTTCTTCCAGAAAGAGCGCTTTACCTAAATAAGTCGTCGTCATTCTGGAGCTGTGGTCAGTATGCCCGCGGCACCGTGATTCGCGCACTCCAAGTGTTTTACAGTGGCGACTGACACACCCATCCTGTGCTTTCTCCGTGTCGTTCTGCTGCTCAGCTAGGCAGCGCAGGGCAGCCTAGAGTTGGTCATCCCTAGATGAGTCGAAACCGTCGGAGAGGTAATAGGGTCAGGCCTATTGGGGATCAGGGCTGGTGTGATGCTGAGGTGTCGCCTGCTGCATGGAGGCGCTTGGGTCGCAGTTTGAGGCAACCTATCCGGGTGGGTGCGTGGAATGTCCATCTTCCTCTGCTGTCGGGGGAGCTTCGTAAACTCCGCGTTTCGGTGGCAATGCACTCTGAGGTACGCAGACCGGGGATTGGCCAGATCTCTGTAGGTGTGTATACCTACTTTTGGTCTAGTCGGACTGATGGCTGCCATACTCAGAGAGTAGCTGTTGCCGTAATGGATCGGCTCCTTCCGATGGTGTCTGACGTCGCTCCTTTCAACGAGCGTATTATGAGACTCAGGCTAAGGCACTCCTTGGGTGTCTTGTCTGTTGTCTCAGTGTATGCTCTGACCGCGGTGAGTGATGTCTCGCTGAGGGAGACATTTTACTCACATCTTTGCTTGGTGGTTGAAGGGTACCCACGAGGTGACACTCCTCTGGTCATGGGTGACTTCAATGTGACAAGTGGCACTGACAGTGGCCCCATGTTCCTTGACTTTGCAAAAGGTCAGGGGCTGCAAGTCGCTGGATACTAGTTCCAACACCCTGAGCCGCACCGTTGGACTTAGTGCTGCAGTACTGGAGGTGCAGCGAAGGAGATCATTCACCTCCTCATGGGCAGACGTTGGAGGCTCCTGCAGAACTGCAGGGTCTACAGAAGTGCCCAGTTTGTGAATTCTGACCACAGACTTATTGTCACTACGGGACTTCCGGTGGCACGATAGTGGAGATGGCAGCATAATTGCAGAGCTCCAGTATCAGCCAGCTCCTCCTGAGAAAGACACAGCCACATGGATAGTAATAAGAAACCTGCAGCAGTGATGAAAGCCGAGCTCTGCTTCTCCGTCGGCATGATGCGAGTACCTGGCACTCCTCTTTGCCCTTCAGCTCCAGTGCTCTGTGCTTCAGCAGCTCCTCCAGGCCGAGAGCAGGGTCCCGGCAATCGCTCACTCCCCGGTCGCTCCCATCCACCAGGCTGTCCGAGAAATAAACACGCAAACAGACACCAGCCTCATGAGCTGCAGCTTTCCTGTCCTAACATGCAGTCAAAGACATTTTACAGCCACTTTCTGTGACACCTTTGTGGCGTGTGTGTGTGTGGTGATCCATACCAGCACAGCACGCCCAGCACATGCTCAAGGAAAGAGGAGTGTGGGGACCGCAGGACTGACACCAGCTGCTGCACCATGCCCATGGAGAGGACTGCATCTGAGGGGTAGCGAGTGCCGGAGAGTCAAGGGACACGGGCACAGATGTACAGACAGAGATTCATGCATGCACAGCACTCACACACCATGCACGCACACACACACATACATACAACTTGCACACCATGCACACACACAGATACACATGTGCACATATACACACCAGCGCACGTATGGCCAGCAAGCACACACAGATACACACATGCACACATTTACAGCATGCACACACAAACACACATGCAAGCACAGCATGAACACACACACATGCAAACGGCACCTCTGTGCTCCGGGTGTGCACTCAACAGGTTCAGCAGCAGGAATGCAGACTTGGTCCTCAGCTTCTCGCTGTCTGACTGCATCCCTCTCATCAGCACAGAGAAGCCGTCATGTGATAGGAAGACACGCAGACCTTCTTCCTGTTCCCGGACCAGACCTATGTGGGCACGGAGAGACAGCATGATGCCTTGGCTTGGGGACATTCTGGCACACACACACTGAGACACGTACTTACAGGACACAGCGTACAGCGCCTTCACTTTGACGGTAGGGTGGGGGTCACAGTCTATGAGCTGCAGCAGCGTTGCCAAGGTGCCCTGGCGGAGTAAGTAGCACTGCACCTCGGCCATGTTCTGGGCACAGGAAGCTAA